GTATGGAGGACCAGAGCTACGAGACAAGGCTACTAAATTTAAACATGTTCACATTGGAGGTGAGGAGATTAAGGGGGGATATGATCTCCATGTACAAAATGTTCAATGGTGGCAGCAACATTAGCGATAAACTGTTTAAAATTAACTCCATTACAAAAACTAGAGGCCACCACCTAAAATTGGTGGAAAAAAAATTCCAGCACAAGGGGCGAAGGGGGTTCTTCACAGTAAGATCAGTTAGGGTCTGGAACTCACTGCCACAGACAGTGATTTCAGCAAAGAATGTGGAATTGTTCAAGAAACTTTTGGACGATTTCTTAAGGGACCGTAATATACAGGGGTACAGGTACTCCTAGAATGAGATCCTAATAGGTTGGACTTGATGGACTAATGTCTTTATTCAACCTCAAATACTATGTAACTATGTAACTATGTAAATGAAAGTTCAGCTTTATCCTAAAAACTGTGTTTATTAGGCATATTCACCTCTACATTCCTGAGAGACATTGTTTGATGCCTTGAAACTCCTATCCAACAATTGGATAAGTGCCTCACCCCCTACCAAAGACACCTGGATCTCTAAAATGAACTTTACTATACCTTTCAAAAAAATGTATTGAACTACACAGACTTTGCCTGATAAAGTTCCATAAAATATAGAACAAAGAAATGACTCTCTTCTCAACATGTTACCCATTAGATCAAATACCCTTGTTTATGTACCTTTGTTTACAGTAAATTCACCAAAAAACCTTTACTATCACTCAAGAACTTCCATTAGGAAACTTCTAAATTGAACCATACAGTATGTCGGTCATGACGTTCATTGGACCTAGGAAGGTTTTGTAAAATAAGTGGTCCAACAATAGTAAACATACACAGTATGACATAGTAGCAAAAGTAATAGTGAAACCTTATTCTTTGTTTCTGTTGTTACCTTTGTTTACGTTCCTGAGAAGAACAAAGTAAGCTTTTAGATCCCGACTTTTTATACTTGGAAAACAATATTACATTATGCTTTTGCTGTAACATACTTGTGCCACTATGTTATATTCAGTTTGTCATTTGGGGAATTCTGAGGATTATGTAGGAATCATATTGCCCTCCCTTTTTTAATTCCCACGTTAATGCTGTTTTTTTTAATTTAATAAAACTCTATATAATTACCATAAATAGGACTTTTTCAAGCACATAGGTGGACACAAGACATGGATGAGGGGCATTCTCATTAGACATAGATGAGGGACACTCAAGGTTCAGAAGGGATAGTCATGGATCCTTTGGGTACTCAAATGTGGATCTTTTCATTTTTCTGGTATTCTTGCTTTACTATTTTAAGTCATTGACCTGGAAATAGCATGTGGCTCTGAATTCAAGACTCCTGATTGGCATTCTAGTTCTAGGTTAAAAACTCGGAAAGTATGGAACTCAACAAAGGTGACCTTTGAAAACTCAGCATAGACAGCCTAGAAAAAAATCAGCATAGGCAACTGCGTGAATGTGAGCGATAAATCTCGGGGTATTGTGGCACTTACCAAGAATGTTCAGTACATAAACCTTAGTGTCTTCACCAGCGATATTACGAGCCAGGCATGTGTAGCGGCCAGAGTCGGAAGGTTGCACTGATGTAAGATGCACAGAGCTTCCATCTTGGGACAGCCTGACCAGGTAAAACATGAAGGTGTAAAACTAGGTAAAACACATACACATAGAGCAACATACTCAGGAACGTAGTAGTATACGAACAGACCGCACTATCCAGAGAATTCCAATACTTCAGACTTTATTGAAATTCACAGCAAATCCAGTATAACAGTGAATAAAGGTGTATAAAGCAGCAAATACCACCACAGCACACCCCCAACCAGCTACAACCTCTCACATGTTTCATCTATACTTATTCATAGAGGTTAACCTAGGGACTTCTCTGCACCTGATCTATCTTAGATCTTAGCGATTTTGCAATTGCCTTTAAGGATGATTTTAAAAACTTGCTCTTAGCAAACAACGAGTTATCAGTTTTTTTAAAGGGGCCGGGGCACCCAAAATTAATATTTTCAATATAGTTGGAAATTGGGGGGCTGTGCCATAGTTATCAACTGTGTTCCTGTTCACCTGGGAACTTTGGGTGTTCCTATCCACTTTTGTGTATTGCAGCTCCTCCTGTTACATTTTCCATAATATAAAATTCAAACAAATCCAGGAGGGAGAGTGGGAACCCCTCCTAATGGGCACAGTGGGTGTGCAGATTTGGGATCTCAGTGCACAGCTCTCACCTATAGAATCCACGATAGATGCTTTAACTCTCAATCATCTAACAAAGGGTCACTTCACCCACAACTAGTTTAGTTTAAGAATAGAAACCTCAGAGAACTGTAGTCAGCACTGTCCCTATTTGACTTACCGCATGTGTGGAGCTGAGACAAGATCCAGGGGTCTTCCATCCTTCAGCCACACAATCTGGGGTGAGGGTGTTCCCTCTGCTTTACATTCTAATGTCACCTCCTGTTTCACGTGAATGCTTCGCTCACTTGGCATTTCAGATCCAATGATTCTCGGAGCCACTATGTAAAAAAAAAAAGAACTTTTCCTACCATCATACCAAGCATATTATTACGATACACCCCTGGATGTTTTACAGTTCAGGTAATTGTAAAGGCTAAGATGGGTGCAGAATCATTTGTTTATTTCACAATATCTGGAACATTACCCGAACTATTTTGCTTTATAATTGTGCTGGAAGATTTTTATTTTGAAAAGCAGCGAACTGGCCATACCACTGCTTTATAAACCACCCCCTTGGTGTTATTCAGGCTCATACCTTGTATCAACAGCAGGAAGTCCTTGTGAGCCTGAGATAAGTGGTTCTGCACTACACAGCTGTAGTGGCCCGCATGTGAGGGCTGTACTCTGCCAATCTGCAGTCGACTGCCTCTGATGATCACTCCCCAATCTCCAACATGCTCTGAAAAAAACCACAACAAACAAGTGTTTTGATCAAATACACTCATTTTCATTTACTAGTAGTCCTGTTCAGTCCTTACACTATAAAGAGTATCTCCAGGAAAAATGAAAAATGCCCACCGACACCTTGACATTTAATAAATGCCAAATTTGTCTGGATTAGGTGTTAACTGCAGTATTTATAGTAACCATCAAATGTAAGCAGGTGACTCTGTCTGATCAGTCTCCAAGTAAAATCTTATTGGCCAGTTTGAATTTAATTTGACCCATAGATATTATTTTACCCATGACAGGGCCAACATGGAGGTGGGGGGCTTCCCATACAGATGCACGCTCTTATCTAATCTTTAATGAGAATGTGTAGTTTTCCAATTCTTTTTTTTTTTTTTGGACAAATTTGGAGAGATTAGTTGAACGTAACTGTCCTACCAGTCTGTTTCTGTATTAAAAAAAAAAATGTTTCAAAGTTTAATTACTAATTATATACTCTACGGACAAGAAAGCATTTATATTTTTCCATTACATACTCTGTTTTGCAGTGCTGCACAATAGCTGTATTTTAGTGTTGAATAGCTGCAGAGAGACCGCTGCTCTCACACAAAGCAGAGCTCTATATCTCTCCAGCCCACAATTCTGCCACATGACTTTGTGAAGTTTCTGTAGATTTTTTCCTACATATATAAAACTAAGCCAGCACTGTATAATTATGTGCAGCACTCTCGATTTAACAATTTATTTTCTCCTGATGGTACAGTTGGGCTTTAAACAAGGAGGGAGGATGAATATAGTGGCTTATCTACTGTCATTAGAGTCTAGGCTACAAATGTCTACATTTAATAGAATATAAATGATGGAAGAGCAAGATTACAAAACGGTCACATCAAAAATTATTTCAAGGTAAAATAACTATTCAAGGTATCTGATCACTAACAATATACAATACATTCCCTTTAAAGAAAACATTGTATTGTCATAATTCAAACAATTATAACACCATCTAATGACTGTGGCTAGCTTAATAACTTCTGTACTCCTGTGGGTAGGGGGGGGGGGGCG